CGGGGGGTGGTTTTCTTTTTAAAAACCCCAAATTTAAAAAAAGTTTTTTTCAAAAAAAAAAAAAAAAAAAAAAAAAACAAACAAAAAAAAACACACAAGTAGTTTTATTACCTAAGTGTGTAAGCAAGCACTGAAATAAAACAGGTTTGCAGCAGATAATACGCTAATGTCACTGATATGCATTATCTCGACCCATCGCCAACTGGGGCCTGTTTGCCAGGCGGACTGTGTCACTAAATATCCTGCCTCGCCTGACTCAAAAGCTCTTTCCGGGGGTTAAATGAGCAAAACAGTAAAACGGCTCTGCCACTTTATGTTCCTTTACTAGGGAGAACCAACGATGCACAGATACTGTTCCGGGTTTACACCAAAAGAAGTTGCAAGTGTGCAACAGAAATACTCTAAAGTACTTGAGTGGATAGTTCAAGGACAATTAGTAGTCGTAGTAGTCCGTCTTCATGGAATTGTAGCATTGCAGTATTCATAGCCCTATTATTGCTGGAATAAAGACCTATATAGAGTCCATTGTAAGATGAGAAAGTGTTAAAGGTAACAAGAGAGACAAAAGACGCAGCACACTGGGATCTTCATTTTTCAACCACAGGCAATTATGAAAATAATGCTTCAAGTTTAGGTTACATGTTATGAATCTTCCTCGAGGCCCGACCCTCACCTTGCCTTGCCCTGTCAGATCGGGTTAGGAGTTAGGCCGGCGCAGGGATGTGACAGCTGGAAATGGTTTGAGGATCTCTGGATAGTTTGTTTTCAGAGCACGCTGCGGGACTGGATGAAAGACATGCGTAAGTTGGCCCATGGCTGCAAATGCTTATGCGCCTCAAGGCAATAAAAGTGTTACTGTGAATTTGATCACTGTTTAATGCCTGCACTGCAGCGCTATTAGCAAGTTCTAAGTGCTCGGCATTAAAGTGTGACAGACGGATCCGAGCTGCGCAGGTATCTCGGTAGTGTGTGACCGTCCCAGCTAATTGGCCTCCTCTGTGTTTTGAGCACTTTGACCTATCGGGGATTCATTTCCTGGCCTGTTGTGTTCCTAAGTATGCAACAGGGGTTCTGGCATAATTCGCACTCTCACTTCCCAATCCCTCTCAGATGGCGGGGTGCTTTTCCTTTCTTAATGACCAAATAAATCTGACTGGTGCTAAAGGAGAGACAGAGAGAGAGAAAGAGAGAGAGAGAGAGAGAGAGAGAAAAACGGGATTAAAATTCCCCATTCGCTTTCTGGAGGAGCCCAGCTGCATTGCACTGTTTGTTTTCCACGGCGCTCAGAGCAGCTGCAGAGAGGTGGGCCAAATCAAAACAGCGAGGACGTATTTTTGTTGGCATGCACTTTCCCGTTCACTTAGCAATAATTGTATTGTGAAATTAGAAAGGAGCAACAAAAGTAAGGATTAGTGTCACATGCTTATAAGGTGCTCTAAGTGTAGCAACTCCAAAAAAAAAAAAAAAAAAAAAAAAGGGGCCCGTTGTTTTTTGTCAAAATAAAGTTCTCCCTCCTCATCTGACACAATGCATCAGCACCCGCCGTGTTATATCCACAGGCTGAGTTACAAAGCAGACTCCTTGGACACGAGAGCAAAGTTTGCAGATGAAGTAAACTCCCCAGATCAACATTTATCACTGTTTACCTAAACTGAGATGATTCAAGCAACACACTGGAGCTATTTTAATAGTAACACATGAGTGGCAGCCAACTCGCACCGCAGGAGGGGAGAGGAGTCGATGTGCTCGGAGGTGACACCGGGAAGAAATGCGGCGCGGCAGGTAAGACGTGTCTGAGAGCAACATTATCTGGGCTGCTTGGCTGATTCTCAGCAAATGCCGTCTGAATGTAAACGAGCGTGACCGCCCAGCAGGTTTATGATGGCTGTCTCGCTCAGCTTAATGTGATCTCTCGACACCTGCCGTGACCTTGCAGCAAACTCTGACAGAGAAAACAAGCCGGACTGTGCGCTTTGTTTGAATGACACAACCGCTCTTACGCCATTTTGACTCATTGTGAACGAGTGAGCTACGCTGAAAAGGCTCGAAAGTGGCGTTTTCGATACCTTCAGTCCCGGATTATTGCAAACCTCTCAGTGAATTAGCTGGTAATATTTAATGGAAAGCTCGAACCTGCAGTGAATGAACAAGTAAGACTCCGCCCCAATTCTAGACGATTCTTTGTAGAATCGTCTAACATTTGCAATGTTTTTTTTATTCACCAATGTTCTGTCAATTTCTAAGTTAATTACAGCGCACTGCGCATTTACAAACAACAAAAGCAGACTAACATGCGTCACAGTTTCACACACAAAAAAAGAGGAAACAATAAAAATCAAATACAGAATAAAGCAGGGAATAGAAGATAGAAAAGCAAGGTTAGTGATGAGTTTTTAAATGATTGGATTAAATTAGGCAGAGATGTAGTAATTACATCACTTCTGAAGGAAAGTGGTTGGACTGTATTTTATTTAGGGGCATCAAACCCCTTGCCTGTCATGATGACTCTTCAAGAACCCATTGACTTACATGTAGGCATCCTGAGGGTGACAGTTGAAGGGTTGAAGTTAGGTGCTCGAAGAAAAATGCACTCCACACTTTTCAGATTTTTCTGTTAAAAAAGAGAAAAAAAAATTACATTTGGAGTTTAAGTTTGTAATCTATAAAAACATGACAAATTTAAGTGAGATGAATACTTATGCAAGGCAAAGTAATATACCGACCCAGCCAATAGCAATCAATGTCATGAGTCCAGCGCAGATATATGAAGCTTTCCAGGCTCTGTGCATTCCTTCCTGGACGCCATCGTCTATAGGTTGTAAAGAAGGCGTTTTAAAACGTCAACACTAATAATAAGCTATCCATGAGAAAAACTAAGCTGCTCTTGCGGACTGGGAATAGGTTCGTCTCCTCCTGTGGATACTCAAAAGACAAAAACCAGCAAGAACACTAAAAATATGCAAAAAAGACTTGTGGTGCAGTTTCCCAAGGCCGGAGAAAGGAAATAGACTGACAGTTTCTCCCTGACCCCCTCACCACCCCCCTGTAACCTCCTAACAGCCCCTTGGGGGATCCTGTCTCTATGCGTAAAACAGACTTTCAGAAAGCGTCCTGGAAAGTTCAGAGCCACGAAAACAAGGGGATGTGAGGAAGTTCAATAAGCTCGAACGAGGAGGGCTCAGCCCGTAGATAATCTCAAGGCCACACAGCGCGGGCCTCCGGTCCTACAGGGATCCTGCAGATTTGCCATTGTTACATTGAAAAATTAAACAGCTCCAGCGAGGTCAGCTGCGTTAAAGCCACCTCTCTTCTTGAGTGTCTCCTCCGGGCCGCCGCGATGTTGACATACAGGGCAGGTGCAGCTGCCCCCCGCTCTTCTCCCCCCCACCCCCCGCCCCCCAGCTCATATCTGCATCAACTAGAACCCCCCCCCCACCCCCACCCCTCCATCTTCAACCAGCGTACACACACAAACACACTCATACCCCCACAAAGCTTGGATGTCACAAGATGGGGTTTAAATGGACAAAGACAAATCAACCATTTTCTTTAATATCTCTGCAACAATCAGCGCGGGGCTGCTGAGTTAACACAGGGCCCACAGAGACGAACACAAAGGCTGGATTCTTCGGGCTTGAAGATGGCTATGGGAAATGGCATGGATGCCAGTGCTGATAAGTGACCGATGGGCTCAAGTTACTTCCAGCTGTCTGCTGCCATGCATGCCTCTCCAAAACGTATGGCTCGCACATAAATGCAAACTATTTCATTTACATAACACTCATAAAGTAAACGCCGGACGTATAAAAAAATAAAAAAAAAAATTGAGAGAGAGAGAGAGAGAGAAAAACATTTCAACACCCTCTGACTTGGGAAGGGTTTATATTGCAGGAATTAATCTCTAGTCCTCTGAGGAGGAACTATGTTCTTCTTCAGCTGAGAAAACACAGACAGCTGAAAATTCGGACCTCGCTGGGGCAAAAGCTGGATCAATAAAATCCAGGGAATACTGGAAAACCTGGATGCAGCGTGTGGAAAGAGTCTGACTCAGGTCTCCTGGATAATTGCGCTAGTTTACATTGTTTGGCTGAACACAGTAAACAGTGTCCGCGAGGACCTGTTGGCATTGTTGGCTCCGATTGTTTTTTTCCCCTTTAACTATAAAAGCCAGATTTCCATACGGACACAGGAAAATGAAAATTGCATTTCCCTTCCAGTGTTTAAAATGATGGGAATTTAAAGAGAAAATAAAATTGAGGCTGTAAAAGACTATTACTTTTTAACGCAGGCTGTATTTCTGAGCTGTAAACTTAGTTGCTCTCTCAAAAAAAAAAAAAAAAAAAAACCCTGTGAAAAAAAAAAAAAAAAAAAACCAGCGCCACTCTGCATTAGCATCACCTCAATACCAGTGAGGGCCTCTTCCTGTCCATTTGGAAAATATAAGTACATTTTCAAGCTGCTGCACACTCCAAAAGGAGAGAGCTTTTGGCAGGCTTTGAAGTTCTCGGAAATAATGCTGCTTAAAAGCATCCTCCACAACACAGAGAAACACGAACGTGTATTTCAGACAAGAGGTGTGAGTGAGCACTTCTTAGGAGCCATGTAAATCCCCACTAGAGAACTTGGGCTTAATGTGTTTTTTTCTTTCTCTTTCTTCTCTTTCTTGTTATGACGCTGTTGCACCCGTCCTATGAAGAGTATTGATTGCTATTGCTTTTATGAAGCCTCATTATCATCATTCACTCATTACTTCGTCATCTTTCCAAAAGGAGACTCAGCAATGTCATAATCCCATAATGTGATCATTCAGAAATGTTCCATAGTTTTTGTTTTGTTTTGTTTTTTTTCTTTTCTTTTGTCGAGCGCGTTTCTTTTCTGGTGAAACTTGGAGAGAGACACTGCAAATGAAACAAAACACCACCGCCGAGGAGAAGGGCAAGGATAAAACTTTGCATCACGGCCTTTTATTTTCCCTTCCCTGCACAGTTTAGTGTTTCAGCTACACCCTTTAGGCAGTAAAAACTGTCATCTAATCATATCCTCGTGCAGCCTAAAATGCCATATACGCCCATACCAGCCTGGAAAGGGGACCTTTCAGTGGATTAAAACGGATATGAGGTTATTTTTGTGAGATCCATGATTGCATGAGGCACTCCCACCAAGACTTAGTGTGATGACTGAGGAGGTGAGCTAATATGGTGTGGTGTTGATGCAAAAGGCGTTGTGTAAGTTCAGAAAATGGCTGCTGCCCTTCGACTGAATAAACAAATTTAAAGTTTTATGTGCTACAAATCCGTTGCTGCTGCTGCTGCAGTGGATATGAAACGGTGGCAGATACCTGCGGCACAAACCCTGTCTTGGATAAATAAACCGTTGACCGGTGGTGTTCTGCCTGAATAATTCCCCCTCGATGTTGAATTTACTTTCTTAATTAATTTAAATAAAAAGGAGAGGTTACTATATTTAACTTGTGAAGTAACCTAGGATTACTTGAACTGTTCACAATGTTCACAATCAAACAAACTAAAGAATTTGGGGGGACATGAATGACAACATGGTGGACAATACATGGAAATAAACACATTTATGTCCTCAGGAAAGGACTTCAGGTCAGTTTGCCCCTTCAGCCGGTGTGAACTGCCTTTTCACACCCGGATGTTTTTTCTAGTAAACAAACCATTTTGTACCCTTATATTTTTTGCTAGGTTATAAATATGATAGAAACAGAGAGAGAGAGAGAGAGAGAGAGGTAGGGAGGAAAAAAACTCCCTTAAATTTTGATTTAAATCATGTGAATTAGGGAGAAATTTGGAAATTGATGTTTTTCATTAAGATGATTTCAAGTCTCAATATTGCTTCCACAGCTGCTGCATTACCTTTTATTTTAGCCAGAAATTATTAATAAGCAAACAAACCTATAATCTGCCTCTTGTAATGTCATCAAACCATTACAAGGAGAACAGGTTTATTTTATTTTTTTTACTTTGAATTGTGTCAAATCCTATAAATGGCAGTGGATACTTCCTAATCAATCTGTTTTTGTATTATCAGTGTTCATTGGTGAAAGAAAACATATTCTGTTGAATTGCATCTTTAACTTCGCCTGCTGGTTAAATAAAAGAACATGACCTCGACTTGCTTGAAGTGAGATCTAAATATCTTGAGCAGAAATTTAAGTCCAACACCAGGACGTTTCTTGTGTGCTATTAGGCAATTTGACGGGCCGGGTTTGGCCAGGCAGAACAAGCTGGACAGACCGCCACAGATCTGAGGGAAGACGGGGGAATCTCTTCAACCCCACTGAAACAGCGAGGGGAGAAGATGGGAATTAGTGCTGAATTAAGCACCACTTTGATTGGAAACTGATTGACCGACTGTTGGCAAAACATGAAAGGATGACCTTGAATTCTCAAAGGCGCACATGGATTGGCACATGGCCTCTCTCTCTCTCTCTCTCTCTCTCTCTCTCTCTCTCTCTCTCTCTCTCTCCTTCTCTCTCTGCCACATTCTGTCTTACACTCTTAGCATCTACCAAACAGTGGCACACACACACGCACACACACACACACACACACACACACACACTTACATACAAGCAGTCTGTGATAAGAACACATTTCACATAGAAAAAGAACAAACAAAAAAAAAAACACATACATGTGTGCTGGCACAAACACGGCTCCATCTCTGCTTTTTTCACACTTTCTTTTTTTTAAGTGAGAAAAAAAAAAATCCACACACAGTCACGTACGACATGCCAGAGTTGTGAGAGCAACTTCAAAGTAAGGCAGATGCAGGGACAGCACCCTCTGAATAAATTTTCTGGCCACCAGTCGATCTGCCCCCAGGCTAAGATTGTGGCTGTTCGCATCTCCCTCCTGACCCCTCGTCAGCTCACTGTTACATGCTGCCTCCCTCCTAACATGGCTGTCTTACAGCGGATTGTTGGGATGTGGAGGCAGATATGAAAAGAATAGTAAGGAAGGTATTTTGTCAAATAACCCCCCCCTCCCCCAAACTGTGTTAGTTTTGGGGAAGAGGCCAGATTTGGCTGATTTGATGAGCAAATCAGTGTGAGGGGCTTTATGCTAACACAGATCAACTATGTACTCTAGAAGACTGGCTGAGTGTATTCCCAACGTAAACAAAAGGTCTGCACACAAATTCCTTCTGTTTTTTGCTCTTGTCCACACTTGAGTGTTTCAGATCATTAAAATATTGTAATGTAGCACCAAAAACAAATTTGAACTTTTCAAACACAGTAGAAAAACAAAGTCACTGACATCTGACCAGTCTGGCAATTGCTCCAAATACATTTCTAAGACTTTGGGATGTCAGTAAACCAAGAGTTTATATTACACAATTGGAGATGACATGCATTTGTGTTACTAAAAATGACCGGTCCACCAAAATGACCCCAGGAGCACATCGACCAATCAACCAGGAGGTTGCAACACAAGAACAACGTCCGAAGCTCTCTTGCTGAAGTTAAGATCAACGTACTGGATAAAGCAAACAAAGGAGCCTGGAAAAAATGGCCTCTGTGGGAGAGCTGAAGGCCAAAACCACTACTGACCAAAGACCACAAAGCTCAGTCTAGTATCTACAAAAAGAAAACTTGATGACAAAATGTTCTATAGAGAGAAAAGTGGAACTTTTTTGGAAGGTGTTTGTCCTGTTCTAATTTAAAACGAGGAAAGCATTTAAGCAACTCGCCATCAAACTGAGAGTCAAACATAGAAATGGAAGTATCAGGGTTTGGGGCTACTTTTGCTTCCTCAGTACCAGGATAACTCACCATAACTGATGGGATCAGGAATTTTGATATCTTGCAGGAAATCCTATAGGAGAAAGTCCAGCCACCTGCTGATCTACACAGAGCCTTCAGTCCAATCACACTTTGGTTCTGCAGCAGGACAAACATCTAAAGCACAGCATGTCCACCTCTGAATAACTCAAAAGGCAAAACAAAATAAAGTTTTGGAGTGGCCTAGTCAAAGTCTGGATCCAGTGATATTAATACCTAAATCCTTCTGACTTGGCTGATTTAAAATATTTCATCCCTTGATGTCTGTTGTACTTGCTAGGTTTAGGGGGGATTAGTCTTTCGCATAGGGTTGGTTTGAACAGCTTGTTTCACCTTAATGAATGAAACCACAATTTGAAAACTGCTCCTTATTTTTAATCTGCTTATTTTGATCCAATATTAAAGCTAATTTAAACATCTGAGACAGTTAAGTCTGACAACAAAGCAAAAGCAGGATAAAAATATGTAAGTGGCAACACTTTTTCACAGAACTGCAAATGAAAACAAA